GGGTCTCCCCTGTGGGTGGCAGGGGCCCAAGTACTTTGGTTGTCCTATACTGATTTCCCAGTTACATTAGCAGGGAGCTAGATTGGTGGAGCAGCCGGAACTTGTACTGACACCCATATGGGATGCTGGCATCTTGGGCAGTGAATTAACTCACCATACCACGACACTGACCCCATAATTTTTTATTTTTTAATTATTAGCCAGGGAGCCTAGAGACAGTAGCTGAACTTTATAGAACTTTATCGAGGGGGCACCAGTACTTAACTGCTCTTTGCTTAAACACCTTCATTGGTTCTAGGATACTCATCTCTAACTTATTTTGTGCCTAGATTGATTTTAAAGGCCCCGCACTTTGATGCTGTGACTGTTACACTTAAAACTACCTGTGGCTTCTGTCACCATGGGACATTCCACAGAGGCTGTGCATCAGGTTCAAGGCCCTCTGCACTGTCTGGTTTCCATGCTCTACTCCTTCCCTGTCCTCCAGTCAAACTGGACTGCTTTCTCAGTACACCCGGCATGTGCCCTTTTGTGCCTGCTTCTGTTTCCTGATGGAATCCATGCCTCTGTTGGAACCATGGCCTTATTTGCAGCTAGATCAAGATCCACTGCATTCTAGAGGGGCCTGATGTGGTCCTTTACCTCATCAGAAGTGCTTCTGTACATGCAAGTCCCTCTGCTGGGCTCTGAGCTCTGAGTGCCTCCAAAACAGGGGCAGAGTTGTGTTTTGTTTTCTTTCTTTCTTTCTTTCTTCTTTCTTTCTTCTTTCTTGTCTTTCTTTTCTTTTCTTTCTTTCTTCTTTTTCTTTCTTTCTTTCTTTTTTCTTTTCTTTCTTTCAGATTATTTAATTACTTGAAAGGGCAGAGTCAACAGAGAGACAGAGGCATAGAGAGAGGTCTTCCATCTGCCGGTTCTCTCCCCAATTGGCCGCAACAGCTGGAGCTGCACCTATCCGAAGCCAGGAGCCAGGGGCTTCCCCTGGGCCTCCCATGTTAGCACAAGGGCCCAAGCACTTGGGCATCCTCTACTGCTTTCCCAGGCCATAGCAGAGAGCTGGATTGGAAGTGGAGCAGCTAGGACTTGAACCAGCGCCCATATGGGATGCCGGGCACCGCAGACAGAGGCTTAGCCCACTGCGCCATAACACCGGCCCCCTTTTTTTCTTTTGTAAAAAATCTTTATGATTTATTGAAAGTGCAGAGTAACAGAGAGAGGTGAAGAGACAGAAAGAGCTTCCATTCTCCTATTCACTCCCCAAATGACTCTGACAGCCAAGACTGGGGCATCATGATGCCAGGAGCCAGGCCATCTGGTCTCCTATGTGGATGGCAGGGACCAAAGTACTTGGGCTATCTCCCACTGCCTTCCCAGTGCATTAGCCAGAATGTGTGCTTCATAAGTGTTGTCTTAATCCCTGGCACCACAACACTGATCCCTGTGTTTTCCATACCTAGGGTCTAGAACCAGACTCCATCCACGGCAAGGCCTTCAGTGTGGATGGCATCCCTGGCTACAGACAGAGTTGAGTTCTGGATTCAGCTTTGTACTTATCCGTGGTGGACTTCAGGGCGGTTTATTTAATCAGGGCTCTTATCATTGGGCTAACGTGAGATAACCCCTGGGAAAGAAAGGGATGTAACTGTTATTCGTGCAGTAATTATAACCCAGCCTCACTAAGTGCTACTTCCTCTCTGGAAGTTTTTCCTGTCACTGTGGTTAGAGGTGTCGCCTTCTCCTTGGTGCCCTGTTGGACCCAGGCGGCCAGGTTCTTGGCCCCCATTACTGCTGCCAAAGGTTCCACTTAGGTGTCTGAAGGGCTTATCTCCCCTTCCAGGTCAGCAGCACTAAGGTTACAGATCGGCAATAGCACCCAGCACTGGAAGGTTGGCTCTCTCTTCCTTGGTCCAGTAATTCTTGCTGTGGAAAATTGGCAATGTCTGGAGACATTTTTGGTTGTCATGCGTCTTGGGGGAGTGGGAGGGAGGCTGCTCCTGGAGTCCTGATGTTACAGGCCAGGAATGTGATGCCTGTATTCCACGTGAGTGCCAGTTTGAGCCTTGTCTGCTCTACTTCTGATCCAGCTCCCTGCTGAGGCACCTGGGAAAGCAATAGAAGATGGCCCAAGTGCTGGGTCCCTGTAGCCACGGAGGAGACCCATATGAATCACCTGGCTCAGCCCCTATGGTTGCGGTCGTTTGGGGAGTGAACCAGTGGATAGAAGATCTCTATCTCTTCCTCTTCCTCTATAACTCCACCTTTCAAATAAATGGAATAAATTTTTTTTAACATTTATTTATTCATTTGAAAGGCCAGAGCTACAGTGAGAGAGAGAGAGAGAGGAGAGAGAGAGAGAGAAAGAAAGGGACAGAGAGAGCTTCCATCTACTGGTTCACTTTCTAAATGGCTGCAACAGCTGGGAGCTGGGAGCTTCCTCCTAGTCCCTCACGGAGGTACAGGAGCCTAAGCACTTGAGCTGTTCTCCACTGCCCTCCCAGGCACATTAGCAAGGAGCTGGATTGGAAGTGGAGCAGTCCAGACTCAAACTGGCACCCATATGGCATGCTGGCACTGCAAGTGGTAGCTTTACATGCTAGGCACAGTGCCAGCCCCTAGAATAAATCCTTTAAAAAAAAAAAAAAATCTCAGTCCCCTCTGTTTGAACCTTTCCCCTAATGTAACTGTTTTTGTGATGAAATTAAAGGCAGACCATTTTTCTGGAACATATTTCTATCGTAAACTTGATAAACTATTATTTTCTAGACTATCTAAGATCATATTTAAATGTTATATTTGAAACTGGAAGAAGCGAGAATTTCATTATATTAAGAAAGTGTATCTTCCCTAAATTCTAACTGACCCACCCTTTCTCTCTTTTTTATTAAACAATTATTTTTTGCTTTTGAAATTTTCCAGGTGAAAGACCAAAGAAACCGGTTCCTCTTCAGGATCAGACTGTCAGAGATGAGAAAGGAAGGTATAAACGATTTCATGGAGCCTTCAGCGGAGGGTTCTCTGCCGGGTACTTCACTACTGTTGGCTCAAAGAAGGTATGCTTGTCTTACTAGAACTCTTATGTTGCTAAAGCAAAGGATTCAGATATCATGGATACTTCTTCTCCCTGGCTCGCTCTCTCTCTCTCTTTTTTTTTTTTTGTAACTTCTTCTTTGAAACTTTTAGTGCATACACTGTAGTCATTTGTGTCCTTTGAGTGTTTGGAATGTGTGCAGAGTCCAGTTAGTATGTTCACTGCCTGTAACCTGAAAGGTGAAAGAGTTCTTTCACTGTGCAAAATGGATACGTTCTAACCAGATGAGTAAGTGATGAAAAAAGACTCCCCTTGTATTACCTCTTGTCATGCACACAGTATTCTCACAGATTCAATCCGTTAATCATGGACTGTCTCCTATGACTCTGTGTAAGGAGGACAGGTGTCACAAGTGTTGTGCAATTGAGGTCACCAGAGGTCACAGGGGTTACAGAACCAGCATACTGTCAGAGAGGTGGGGGGAGTTAACAAGTGGGGTGGTCTCCTGATGTTGGAGACTACCATGACTGGTTTTGCTACATGCTCTCAACCTGGAGAAGGGTCAATTTAAAATTTCATGTATGTAGTTTAACAAACCCCATCTTGTTTAAAGTAAGGGAATGTGTGTTTTAATCTAGAAAGGTTTAAAAAATTTAAAAAACTGTGGGGGGTAGAATTGTGGTGCAGCAGGTTAAACTGACACCTGCAAATGCTGGCATCCCATATGGGTGCCTATTTGAATTCCCATCTGTTCCATTCTGATCCAGCTCCCTGCTAATGCACCTGGAAAGCAGCAGAAGATGGTCCAAGTACTTGGGCTCCTGCATACACATCTCCCACCAAGCCCCTGGCATCAGCTGGTCCAGCCCTGGTCTTTATGGCCATTTGGGGAATGAACCAGTGGATGGAAGATCTCTCCCTCCTCACTATAACTTTGTATTTCTAATAAATAAAATAAATCTTAAAAAAAAAAGAATTATCAAAAAAGAAAACTACTTTGTTAGGAAATTAAGCTACCAAGAAGTGGTCATTTTTAAAGATTAGTTATTTATTTGAAATTCAGAGTGACAGAAAGAGAGGGAAGTGGGAGATGGGGTTGGGGGTTGAGGGGGAGAGAAAGAGAGAGATCTTCTACCTACTGCTCACTCCTCAAATGCCTGCAACATCTGCACTGGCCAGGCCAGAGCCAGGAACCAAGAACTCCATCTGAGTCTCCCCATGGGTGGCAGGGACCCAAGAACTTGAGCCAACATCACAGCATCCCAGGCGCATTAGGAGGAAGGCTGGAACCTGGAGTTGGAGCTGGGAAAGCGAACTTAGGTGTTCTGAAGTAGGGTATGGAAATTACCAACTAATTCTTAGCCACCAGGTCAAAGCTCACTCCTCAGACATATAGCGTATGTATTGTGTATGGTTCCAGATTCCCCATGTGGGATGCCTCAGTGTGTATCCCACTAAGTTTTTTTTTTTTTTTTTTTTTTTTTTTTTTTAATTGAAAGGCAGACCTACAGAAGAAGAGAGAGAGCTTTCATCCACTGGTTTACTACTCCCCAAATGGCTGCAATGGCCTAAGCTGAGCTGATCCAAAGCCAGGGGTCAGGAGTGTCTTCTTGGGTCTCCCCCATGGGTGCTACGTTTCACCAGGCACATTAGCAGGGAGCTGGATTGTAAGTGGAGCAGCTGGCACCAAACCAGCACCTAAATGGGATGCCAGAGCCACAGGCAGCAGCTTAACCAGATATACCACAGTGCCAGCCCCCCACTGAGCTCTGACAACAGAGGATAATCAGGGTTTGAAACTGCTATGGAATAATGGTATCTAATGAGCAGTGGGATGGAAAGTAGTTGAGGACTCCAGAGTGCAGGGAGTTTCAAGTCTGTATATGTTACTTCATTATTTTGATATAAGCCAGAATGCTATCTAGGACTGCAAAGTCTAAACTCTTTTTTGTAGGATGGACACCCTCTACTTTGTGTCTTCTCGCCAGAACAGAGCAGACAAATCTGTTCTCAGTCCTGAAGACTTCATGGATGAAGAGGTGGGTGTGCAAGGACTTCAGCCGCCCGTTAGTTGGTGGGGTGTGTGGTGGCTGTAGCCAGAAAGTCCAACAATGTATGAATTCCTTTTGTTGTAAGGCTTTACTTGTAGGTATTTGTACTGCAGCACCCTGTCCATCTGTGGATTCTAGTTTACCTCGTGTAGCGTCTTGGTGCTGGGTCAGTTTCTAAAGTCAGAAATGGAAAGGGAAAGCCACGTATAGGCAAATTTACTTGAAAAGCCACATTTGCCCCAAAAGTGCGCTCTCTGTGGTGCTGAGCCTGCGGCTTTCCACAGCAACTCACACACACACTGCAGTTTGAGGAACAGGGAGCAACTGAAATTTAACCTGTGCTACCTTAAAACCCAGTCATGGACTGATACACAATAAAGTTTACAAAATACTTAACATTGGCTACTTAGGCTGCAGGTAAGAAGAAAGGCAGGCGCCCTTCCTGTTTAGTAGCATAAGCTGTAAGGAAACAGACACCTAGATGTCAGTGGGGCCCCCAGCTGTTCCTTCTCAGCCGTCTCCTGCAGTTGGTGCCTACTGCCTCTCCTCGTGTCACCGCGTGGTGCACTAGTTCCAGGCGGCACAGCCAGAAGGACTGGACCACAGCGGAAGGGTGTCTTCCCTCCTGGTATCCTTTCTTGAGAGCAGTCCGCAGTCCTGCTGTGGATTTTCCTGCACATCTGTTGGGGGCCATCGTTTCACATGTCCATTCCTGAAGCAGTCCCTGGCAAAGGAAATGGGACTCAAATGACTGGCTTGCACAAGACACTAACCCCCGCTCCCTAGCCTGCTTCCCTGATATTGGGGCACCATTCATGATGGGGCACAAAGGAAAGCAGGTGCCTGGACAACCTCACGGCTCTTCAAGGAAAGAGCTTGATGATGGCCTTTGCCCATTGAGGATGAGCTACTCACGCTTGTGTGTAAAGTCTGCCGCTCCGCTCCTGGGCTAAACTTTGTAGTGTTAACTTTGTTTTTAAAAAAAAATAAAGCTGGGTAGTGTGTCACTTTTAATTAGTTTCTAAATAAGGTTGTTCTGTGTGATTTTTTTTTTCTTTTCCTGAAGGATCTCAGTGAATTTGGAATAGCACCTAAAGCAATTGTCACCACAGACGATTTTGCTTCCAAAACCAAAGATAGGATCCGAGAGAAGGCCAGGCAGTTGGCGGCTGCTACTGCCCCTATTCCTGGAGCCACTCTGCTCGATGACCTCATATCACCAGCTAAGTGAGAAGAATTTGATTCTGTTCTGCTCTGGGCATTGTGCTTTGCATCTGTAGGATTGTCTTACTTGGGGATAATTTGGTTGCAAGTAACAGATGCCTCCTTAGACTCAATGTCTAAGTGAAAGGTTCAAAAGGATGTTGTTTTATCTCTGTGTGGTATGCCCAGGAGTCCCAGCCGCTAGCTGTGCCATTAGTGCTCAAGCAGGCTGGAGAGCTCCTGGGAACTGGGGTGGCTTCTCTCCCCAACCTCCCTCGCAGGTTCTCTCCTGCCTGCCTCGTTCTACCGTCTCTTCCCGTGTTCCTCCTTGTTCCACTCCTGGGCATGAGGCCTGATATGGCAGCTTCAGGCCTTCATGTTTCCCAGGCCTCCTCAGCACAGACAACTTAGAGTTTCCACATGCCCACGCAGGCCCAGGAGAGGTGTCTGATTGCTCTCCCCAGCCCCTCAGGCTGCGCGGCTGTGGTGGAGACAGCAGGCAGTTCTCACGTGGGCAAGGGAGAGTGCCCAGGCGGGAGCTGGGCAGGAACTCAGACACTGCTTATCTCGTACCATTGCTGATGTCATCCAAAAAGTTCATTTTCTTTGCCTTGATATCCTAGATTATCTATTGGTTTTGAATTGCTAAGAAAAATGGGTTGGAAGGAAGGGCAAGGAGTTGGCCCTCGAGTAAAGAGAAGGCCACGCCGACAGAAACCAGGTAGTGTATGAGTTGTATGAATTCTTATTTAAAAAAAAAAACAAAAACTTTAACGAATTGATTTTATTTTAAAGGCAGAGAGACCAATAGACATATATTTCCCATCCTTGGTTCATTCCCCAATGTTCACAACAGCCAAGGCTGAGTCAGGCTGAAGCCAGGAGCTGGAACTCTGTCTTAGTCTCCCAGTGTGGGTGGCAGAGACCTGAATGCTTGATCCATCACCTTCTGCCTTCCAGGAAACATGTTAGCAGGAAGCTGGGACTTGAAGCCAGGCATTCTGATAAAGAATGCAGGCTTCCCAAGTGTTATCTTAATTGCTACACAAAATGTCCACCGTAATTCTCATTAGTTCTAGAGCATACTTTAAAATTTTTAAATCTATTTATTTTAAAAAAATCTGTTTTTATTTTTAAGGATTTGTTTTCTATTTATTTGAAAGAAAGAGTAATAGAAGGAAAAACTGAGAAAGTGATCTTCTATCCTCTGGTTCACTCCCCAAATGGCTGTGATGACTGGGGCTGGGCAAGGCTGAAGCCAAGACCCAAGCAGTTGTTATCATCATCTACTGCCTCAGGTACATTAGCATAGAATAGCTAAAACTTTAACTGGCACTCTGATAGGGAGGCGGGAGTACCAAATGGTGGCTTACCTGCTGTGCCAGGATGCCCGCCTCTAATTATTTTTTGTTTGAAAGGCAGAGACAGAGAGAGAGATCTTCTATCCACTGATTCCCTCCTCAAATGCCAGCAACAGCCAGGGCTGGGCCAGGCTGATGTCAGGGGTCTAAGAACTCAGCGTGTCCTTTCATGTGGGTGGCGGGGATCTAAGTACTTGAGCCACGGGGTGTACCAGCAAGAAGCTAGACTTCGAACTGGAGCTCAAGCATCCTTCTAACCACTATGCTGCATGTTGCCCCTTGAACACTCGAACATACATCTTCCTTTTTTTTTTTTTTTTTTTTTATTTATTTACTTGGAAGGCAGAGTGACAGAGATAGAGATATCTTCCATCCACTAGTTCACCCCTCAGTGCCCAGCAGCCGGGGAAGGGCCAGACCAAAGCCAGGGACCCGGGTACTTAAGCCATCATCTGCTGCTTCCCAGGTACCTTAGAGGCAGAGATGCCAGGACTTGACCCAGCACTCTGATGTGGGACACAAGCATCCCAAGCAGCAGCTCTTCCCAGTGTGTCACCATGCCAGCCCAGCAATATTATTTTCTACTTACTTTTTTACCCTTATTCTCCTGGGACATCCAGATTGAGTAGATGTTGTGAGGACAGCAGTAGTTTGTTTGGGTTTTCCATGGTGCCGAGGCAGCAGTGGTTCCTCACTGAGCAGGAGTAAGGTAGAAAGCTGGTGGAAATCTATTTGGTGATCTGCCTCTACCCCTGCAGCTGTAGCACCTTTTACAGGTACAGCCAGGTACCTCTGCAGAGTGTTAGTGAGTAACACCTTTGAAATCTCTGTTACAGATCCCGGAGTCAAAATCTATGGCTGTGCCTTACCCCCTGGAGGCTCAGAAGGGTCTGAGGTATGGTATGGGAAGGGAGGGCTGGCCTTCAATTTGATACTGTAGCACCTGTTACTTTATGATTGCAACATTTTAGGGTTGGAAACAATTTTAGAAACCAGTCGGATCCCATTAACATTAATACCCGTAGCCTAAAACTGCGCTCATTAGGTCAGATAATGCCTTCAGCAACTGTCAGCACCGTAGACACCCTGGTCTGCTCAGATGCTTCTCTTCCAGGTGTCTGTATTGGTATCATGGTTCAGAGGTGTGATTTGGTCATTTTTTATTTTATTTTTTATTTGAGAGGCAGAGAGAAAGAGAGAGAGAGAGAGAGAGAGAGAGAGAGAGAGAGATAAAGCCTTCATGTGTTGGTTCAACTCCCCAAACACCCACAGCAGCTGGGGCTGGGGCTGGGCCAGGGCTGAAGGCAGGAGCTGCTAATTCAGTCAAAGTCTCCTATGCAGGAATCTAATCACTTGAGCTATCACCGCTACCTCTGGGATCTGCATTAACAGGAAGCTAGAGTCAGGAGTTGGAGCCAGGTATTGGACCCAGGTATTCCAGTGTGGGATGAGGACATCTTAACCGATGTTTTAACCACGAGGCCAAATGGCTGCTTCTGATTTAGTCATTTGTACCAGCACAAATGGCAGTTGGGAATGTTCTGTTTGGAATTAATCACTGCATTTTAAAGTCGTATATTATGGGTTTACTTTATCCACACACTGACTCACCTTTATTCTACTTTAAACATAGGATGAAGAAGATGACTACTTGCCTGATAATGACCTTTGCCCCCAAAGACGTCACACCTGTGGATTTCACACCTAAAGATAATGTACACGGACTCGCTTACAAGGGCCTGGATCCCCACCAGGCACTGTTCGGAACTTCAGGAGAACATATTAATCTCTTCAGTGGGGGATCTGAGGGGACCAGTGATCTTCTTGGAGATGTTGGACTGAGTAAAGGAAGAAAGCTGGGCATTTCAGGCCAGGTAAAAGCGATCTGTCTCATACAGGCGGAACCGCGGACAGATGAGTGCCCTTTCCATGTTAGGGGTGCCCCACGGCAGACACTCATTAATCGTGGAACAAATGAGGACGTGAATTTTTTTGTTTTAATTTATTTGAAAAGGAGAGAGAGAGAGAAGCATCAAAGTGCAAGGCAGGAGACAGACAGGGATCTTCCATCAGCTGGTTCCTTTTACAAATGTCTGCTGGAGCTGGGCTAGGCCAAAACCAGGAGCCAGGAACTCAATTCAAGTTTCCAACCAGGGAAGGGGGACTGCCTCCCCAGGTGTGTCTTAGCAGGTAGCTGGAATCCAAAGCAGAGCGGGGACCTGAACCCAGGCACTCTGATATGGGATGTGGGTAGCCCAAGCAGTGTCTTAACTGTTGTACCAAACACACCCCTAGTTGAGGACTTTGAAGTGGTTATATTTCCCTATGGTACTTTTTGGAGACATGTAAAGCATACTTCCTGATTTTAATGATGGGCTCCTGAGAGTGGTGCCTAATGTTTTTTGGTGGAGTTTGCCCTGCCAGGTGAGGACTGCCTTCCTACCCTTTGGGACCACACAAAGACCACTCTTACTTCTTTGTTTAATAACAGACAATCTGCATCTGCCCCTCTGAGCTTAGGTCCAGTTTTCCTACCTCTTGGACTACTGCAAGCCCTAAGTCCTGAACACGAGTTCACTTTTACTCAGGGAACTCGCATCCTGCTTCTGGGAGGATGGAGAGCTT